CTTGTTCACAGGTTTCTATGCTACCACAGAATTTGCGCCACCCTGTTGAGCGTCGATACCTGATACATTTTTTGTATTCAGACTTAGCTTTCTTATATAGAAGCCAGTCTTCATCCTTTGAGGTATGCTGAGCAAAAGCAACAGTGGTAGGGTAGTTCTTTATCCTACCACTGTTGCTTTTGCTCAGCATGTTTTGGTGGAGTGATTACTGGACATGATTCATGGTAGCTATCGATCATGGCTTTAGTGACAGCTGCTACCTGTTCTTCTAGGAGCGATTGATCTGCTATGGTATTAGTTCCCCCAACACTCGCGAGCGAAGACGTCAGCCTATTGAGGTATTTTGTTTTATCCGTCTTGCGGGGATTTCTCCATGGTGGTATAGCGGGGAAATCGACCTGTAGTACGCAGCAGATCCATCTGTGGTCTGAGCATGAGGCCTCTTTCGACACATGCCATCTCGTTATTAGCTTAGCTGCTCCTTTTGTTGCAAGTGTGAGGTCGATTATTGTGCAACAGCGTTTATTTATGAAGGTTGGTTCAGAACCAGTGTTTAATATGGTTAGGTTAGTACTAAATAAATATTCAACTAAAACCTTACCTCGTTCATTAGGTTTTTCCATTCCCCAAAGGGGATGATGCGCGTTGGAGTCCGTCCCGATCACAACCTCTAGTCCGGCCCTCTCACAGAAATTCACCAGCCTGACGAGGTCGTGAGGGGGAGGGGTGTCTTCCTCAGGCATGTAGACCGAGGCGACGACTAACCTTTCCTCCTGTGGGTTTTGTAATGCTACGGCATACATGTCTCTGGAACAGAAATCTGTTAGTGGTTTTGCACAGATATCTTTAGTAGTATAAATACACGCTCTAGGCTTCTCGTGCTCAGAATTGTAGAATAAATTACCTCTTAGGTTGTTTAGGCCTTTAATTTTACCGGCCCCAACCCATGGCTTTTGGATTAGAGCTATGGCCGTCCTTTGTGCCTCCAACCACTTGCGTAATTGAGCCGACGCTGTCTCACTGTGGTGGAGGTTGGCCTGTACTAGGCTAGTTTTGGACGAAGGGCACGCCATCATCGATCGCGTCATCCCCGTCCCCGCCTAAAAATAAGCCTGCCAGCAGATCTCGGGTCTCATCGTCAGCCACCGAGTCGGAATTGGACGGCAAAATGCAGTCCTCTTCGTCGCTTAGTGAGCTGCCGTTGAGCTCAGTTTCCACTGGGGGCTTCGGCTCGGTTGTGCAGGCAATTTTTTCACTGGACTTGACATCCAGTGATTTCGATGTACCGGCAACCATGGCCACGATATCTATGATTTCCGGGTTCTTTTCCTCTTTGCTAGGTGGGGAATCAACGAATTTTCCTCCAAGACCATGGAATTTAACGTATACCGCCCCACATACACATGCGAGACGGCGCCCGGCTTTCATCAGGGTCGGGATATGATCCTCCGGTACCGAAACAACGAGGAACCACCCGTCCGTCTGTTTGTCCGCTTTCAGTAGTAGCCAGTCCTTGATGTTTACCCAGCGATTCTGGTACGCAAGCACACGACCAATGTCGCGTGAGTCCTTCCAGGCACCTTGGGCATCAGTGATAAGGATACCACATTTGATTCTTTGTAGTATCTCTGACTATTTCTTATAGTCAACCAAATCTAAGAAATACCTTTTGACATTTCACATTAATCATTCAGCAATAACTTTGCACAAGCGTACTCACACGATTTAAAATAACCATTTACGTAAATCCGAAGAATTATAAAGTTATCTATATTTCATTACAACGTGTACAGTTTTTTTATCACTAATAATATTTGAATCTTTCAAACAAATCAAAATATTAAAAAATAATCAGTATCAACTTTTTGGACTTGACGTTGTTTCAATGATATGTCGCTATGTACATTACCGTAGTGTTTGAATGATTAAAATTAATTGTTATGCGAATAATCTGCAAAAATATTCTAATAGTCGATAAAAATATTCAAAATCGAATCACTAATTTTTTTAATGTATTATTTGTTTAATTTAAAATTCCTTAAATTACATGAATCATGAATAAAACAAAGTTTATTTTTTTTTAACTTTGTCAACGTAAATTTGTGTAGGCAAAATAACTCATATACAAGGCCGCGATATAAAAACTACTACGTAATTTCAAAATCCCGCGATTTCGGGAGCTGTGCGTTATTTTGTGATGTTGTGTTTGTACTCCTATTTTGTAACTCGGTTTTAACTTTTTGGACTGTTTCTTCAGTATTCGTTGAAGCATGTGCCCATTTCACAAAGGATCATTGGGCAAAAGTGGTAGAAAAAACAAAAAAAAAATATTATGGATGACTTTGAAAGAGACATTAATTTTGACAGCATTATTGAAAATCAAACAACGACAGTTCAACTAGTTGTGCTGAACGTGATTGAATAAATTTATTTTTAAGTTAGTTATAATCTTACATTTTTATAAGTGTGCTTCTAGAAATAAGCAGTACCTAACAACGAATACATAGAAACTGATAAATCTTGTGTTTTAAATTATCCGTTTTAAATTTATTCTCGTATTATTCACACCAAACCGTAAATGATTACCAACTCTAAATAATCGATATCGATTTTTTAAGAATCGAATATTTTACGTTCCCATTTTTTGATTGGCATGCCTAGTGCAATAAGTCTGACAGCTGTCAAAAAGTATTTCTTAGATTTGGTTGACTATAATAGTCAGCGAGGTGTTGGATTTGAGGTCGAGGGTATTAATATTCCCCTTCAACCAGTCCAGAGCCTTCTGGTTATCGCACCACAGCTTTAGGACACCCTCCGTGTAAACGAGTTTGCCTCTAAAAACCGGGCCCGACGCATCAGGGTCCTGGTTACTCCAGGCCTCGCTGATCATCTTCCTCTGTATGGCCACGAAGATGTCATCAGCTACCTCCTTTGTTATGTGACTGAACTGACTAAACGCGCACACGTTAAGGCCACACCCAAATCTGCTTTAGGAGCAGAAGCGTAGCTTGTTCTTGCAGCCTTTGTTTGCTGTTCAAGTCGCACTTTTTTGTGTTCTCCTCTCGGCGAGGTGGACTCTTCCAGCAATCTTTTGGCTGCTCTTTCCTTCTTTCCAGGACGCTTGGCTGCTCTCTGGTTCCTGGCGGATTTCTTAGAGCTGGTTCCGGCGGCCGTGCCTACTGCTCGGGCTGGATTTTCATCATTACCAGTTTCAACATGACTACTGGATCCAGCCCCCCACCGCAGTTTCAGTAGCTTGCCCAGCTCCCTGAGTCTTGCTCTTGGAAGCAGCGAGCGTGGCTCTTTCTCTGCGGCCTTTTTCTCGCTGCTTCTTATTCTTCTTTTTAACCTTTGCGCTACTGCCTGCTGGGATAGACCCACCTGATGGTGCGGCGGGTCGGCAAGTCACCATTTTGGGTGCCTTGCGCTTTCCCTTACGGCTCACCACTTGCCAGGCTGCGGAGAAAAGGTCTTCGGTCCTTTGGGGCTCCGCAGGAGTTTTGCTACTCGCGGCCCCTTGCTCATTTTTCTCGTCCAGCTCCTTGGTTTTGGAACTGGATTTAGAGACATCTAGCGCGGAAATTGCCCCCTTGGTGGGTCCACCTACGCTGGGTGGTACAGTCAGTGAAGTTTAACGGCGGTTTCTTCTGGTTTATCAGTGTCTAAAGGAAACACCTCTGACACTTCTCCCTCTCTACTAATGGGCCTTGTGTTGTCCATAGTTTTGGACATGTCTAATAATTCGTCCCCCCGGCTTCCCACCCTCCATGGAGCCCGCACCTTTGGAAACGCCTTACTTTATTAAAAAAATTTCAGGCGTTAGGATTACCGGGTGAATATAAGGACGCAGAGTTGGCTCACAGCGCGACATCGGGAGCTCGATCCAGCTGGCAGATAGGGCTGAAAAGGCCCATCTCCACTGCCCGAGTTGACTTTCACTTGCCCCGTCAGCAGGACTTTTACTACCACCTAGCCCTTTTCAGGGAGACTAGGCAGCCCCCACACCCCTCACCTGTGACCCTCTGACGGGACGCTTGGCCATTTCCTTATCTGTGGCTAGCAGATAAGGCCACCGTTTAGCTTGAAATCCGGACCAAAGAGGGCGTGTTGCCTCTCTACACTATATACTTAGTGACGATCGGCTCAACCATCCAGGACTCCTTCATCCCCGCATACGGCGCTCAACTGCGCAGGTCCTAGCGCAGGTGGGTGTGTTAGTCCACCGGATACACCCACTCTCTCCGGCGGAACCGTTCCGTCCTCTTTTCCGGGCTTGGGACCGGCAGCAACAAAAAGCATTGACAAAGTTAGTTGCCCGTGCTTCATATTGCAGGCAGAGTTCGCCGCAGGATTTTAACGCAGACGTTTGCGTAATAACTTGATGTTGGCAGGCGTCCATACGCTTCATTGTCTTCCATTTCTGGGTTTGTATTGCACTGATAACGTCTCCCTGTATCTCTCCAAAGTATAGTAAACACAATTTCTACTAGCAGTTTGATTTGATTAAAAATCTCCCCAAGTTTCTTTCTCGCTTTAAACAGTGAAATCACCGTAGAACATAATTTTTTTCTCACCGTCATTTCGATAAAAACTAAAAAGCTAAAAATAGTTTTTCTTTAAAAAATCTCAGAACATTCCAATTTCAATATATTTAGAGAAAGAAATTAAATACGGGCTAATTCTATTTTTGAAATTTGATTTTTAAAAATCGTCTCAAGACTTGTGTACTCAAGACTATATAAACACACGAGGTGAATATCTTTGGTATTGCTTATGTTTGAAATAGCAGCTCACCCACTGTACCCACAGTACAACCACACACAATACGCTGATACGGTTTGAAGGGTGAGAGAACCAGCGCATCTCTGACTTTTGGCAGTTGGTCAATGCGCCGAGGTAGTCAATTTACTTCTACTTTGTTAATTTTAGATAATGTGATATAGGATAGAGAAGTTCTTTCGTAAGAATACATTTGCACTTTGGTGGGTATGTTTGATTAGCAGCTGGGGAGCGGGTGGTGGTAGCAGTGCAGTAGGGGTTGCGTCTGCTGGAAAGCCTGATAATGGGGCGAGCGGTGGAGCCGCGAGTGGAGCTGACAGTGGGGCGGGGAGTGGAACAGTCAGTGCGGTGGGAGGTGGGGCGGGTAATGGAGTGAGCAGCGGCGTGGTGAGCGGGCCGGGCGTTTCGCGCTTGCGGCTCATGTTTGGAGGTGCTCGTCAGGTAAGTCTAGTCATGATCATCATCATCATAGGTTGTCCACGCGCCGGCAGCGGGACGGTGGGACGAGGCGCCGCTAACGACAAGTGCGCTATGCGGCCGCCGCGCGCCGCGAGCCGCGAGCCCGCTGCGTGAGTGCCGTCGTCGTCCCGCCCGCCGAACTGCCTTTTGATAATACGAGGGTGACACTGAAAGTTCTTAGAAAATCAAAAATTGAAGAAACTAGCAACTTATTAGTATTATTATATCTTTTCAAAAAAGTGTCCGTTTACATCAATCACTGCATCCGATGAAACCGCTGAGAAAATCACTTTGCCCACTCGTCCTTAGCGGTCTCTTCGACGGCATTTTGAAACGCAGCCATTGCTTTCTCGGCGTCCGTAAAACGTTTTCACTATTCTTCTTCTACGTACGTACTTCTTTTTCTTTATTTTCGAAAATAAATAAAAATCGCAAGGTGCGACGTCAGGGCTATAGGGCGGGTGACCCAGTAATTTCACGTCTGACGTCGCCAAGTTGTCGATTGTTTGCTAGGCGGTGTGCGACGAGGCGTTATCATGGTGAAGGATGCCACTGCGACGTCGTCCATCCTGAACTTTTCCAAGACAAGTGGCAAACAATTGTTAGTGTGCCAGCAGTAACTGTTGTAGATCCTCTTAAACAATTGCGTAATGAACTGTCCTTCCAAAGAACGATACCATCATCTTTTTTCGCACACTACGACCTTTCTTCAATTTAGTTGGCAACTCCTCGGAAGGAAACACACAGACAGCAGACTGTCTCTTAGTTTCAGGATCATAACAATAAAGCCAGCTTTCGTCACCCGTAAATTTGTCGAACACAGCATTTGAGTCACCTCTGTTAAATCTTTGAACCATTTCACGACACCAATCAACACGACGAAGTTTTTGGGCCTCTGTCAAATTATGAGGTATCCACCGGGCACAAAACTTTCTGACCGCTAAATGTTCATGGAGGATTTCGTGCACTTGACTCATACCGATGCCTAAGCTTGTCTGAATCTGCTGATAAGTCACTATTTTGTCAGTCTTTATCATAAGCCGCACAACACTGTTGTTATCTTCAGTCGTCGCCGTAGAAGGCCGTCCCTCACGCAGATCATCGGTGAGACAAGTGCGACCATGCTTAAAGTCATTAAACCAGGTGTAAAGAGTGGCAAGAAATGAGACTTCATCGTGAGAGACCAATCGAAGTCTATCATAACTTTCTTGTTGACTTAAATGACATCGAATGTCATAAAAAATCATTGTATGAAAATTTTCTCGCAATAAATTCATGCTAACGTGACACAGACAATTTTGAATTTGTCACCAAATCGTAAACAAATGACAAATTAATAAAATACATACACAATAATAATATTGGCAGAGTTCCAACTTCAAAATTTGAACTTATTTTTTTAATTATACGAGTATTGTTTTCAAGTGGTCAGTTCTAAAAACTTTCAGTATCGCCCTCGTACATACTTATGTTTATTTATTTGCGATCTCACACTTAATCTGTTACAAAATTTGATCTATTAGCTCATGATCTTTTGTTTTGTATACACATATGATAGTTAAGGGGATATAGTAAGTCAGCTCAAATTCTAATTTCGCCCCCACCTCCCCGCCCGTCGTATGCTATGTACCGACATGTTTGTAATCACTAATACTGTAAGTAGGTAGGTCGTTAGATACTTATTTCATTAGGTTTATCATATTTATGCACCCCAATTTTCTATTTTACGGTTATTTCCCATTTTAATTTTACGTCGTCCTGTTGCGTAATGTGTATTCTGGTCGTAAGCACAACTTCCCCGATACGGCAGGAATCAAGCTTCAAGACGCCGATAGTTTAGGTAATTTCTTTTTACAGTGAAAACAATGGTATTAAAAAAAGTAAATAACATAAGCACTGCTTTATAGTTAGTTCAGTTAGTATGCAAAGTTTCATGATCTTATTTAAAGTATTTTATGAATAACAGCGGTTTATTATTCAGTTTGGAGGTAACTTTGGATTTTTTTTCTATCGAGAAAATTTTACGGAATCATGTTTTCGTCTAACACAGTCTTTAACATTAATCCTCGACTTTATCATATATTTATTTCAAAATTAATGCTGCGATATTTTTGGCATAACGGAGGATCTCGCTAAGCCATTTGAGGTTATATTTCCCCTTAAATATAAGCCATACTTACATGATAGTGATTTTCACAGAAGTATAGTCTAGTTTTTGTAGACAATACCTTCTTCTTCTTGCCAGTTTTAACCAATTATTCCAACAACATTTACCATATTCATATCAGAAAAAATAACAACGCTGGAGACGTTATGGATTTAATAATAAATAACTTCTGCGCTGTTGTTATTTGTTTCATAGGGAAAGAGTGACAAACGAGCACACAGTCCACCTGATAGTAAGTCGTTGTTGTGGCCCATAGACATCTACATCTATCCTTTGATTACGAGTCAAAATGCAGATGCGTTGTCACCCGTGAGGACTAAGATGGAATGCGTCGTTTGCATTAAAAAGGGTCTCTGGTTCCTTACACACAGCATACGAAATACAACAGCATTAAGCTGCTATTTTACGCTGGTATTCACTGAGAACGTGGTCCGTCCCCGGTTGAGCCGAACTATTCGTGCTACATCTATACTACTAATTTACCTGCAGCATGGCTCTACCACGTAAAAAGCGTTATGCTTGTATTTTGAAATTCAGACACTACACACCAGTTGTAAATATGATAAGTCATTATTTAACATTCAAAATTAATTTATTCCTTTGCAAAATCTTTTTATTTACTACAGCAATGATGTCACGAGCTGAATAGCAGGGTGGCAACGTTTTCGCTCGAAAATTCCAAACGATATATTAAATGTAATTTTTATGGCGCTATTCGGTTATAAAAAATATATTTTTTTTTGTTACGTTGTCACTAGGATCTATTTTAAAAACTATTCGAAAATTAACGTAATAATTTTAACACTATTATTAATTTTAATTTTCCTAGTAAGTAACTTAAACCTTTCCCCCATACAAATAAAATAAAATATTGTAATCACTTACAACTATGGGTGAGAATACCAAATCACGTTTTCTGGTGGTATGGTATTTTCCTACCCAGTTCCAATTATGTGTTAGCTATGATGCGCCCAACTGTTTTAGTTAAGCAGTGCAAGCTAATGACAAGCCTTTTCACCTACAGTGTTCATTCATGCTAAATAAAGTGAACACGGCTTACGTAAATAAAACGGGGAAAGCGCTAACTTTAAATTTATAAGATAATAATAAAACAAGTAAAATTTCCAAAATTATAATAAACTAGGAACTATTTTAATATTAGGTGCTTACATATGAAATTAGCGTTTTGTCGTACTGACCACTTTGATCTAAATTATCTCCTCTTTGGCTAAGAATTCCAAATTAAAATTTATAAATTCATTTAGCTGGTATATTTGAGTTTTGAAAACAGACATTCATTTGTTTTTTCCTTATTATTTTTTTCTTTGGCGTCGCTTATTACCGCACAATGGAAAACATGGAATATCGGTATATTTACGAGTACCTACGAGTTCTACCGTGGCACCAGTGCTGCAGAAACAGCTCGAAGAATTAATGATGTCTACGGTCCAGCACCGTCGACACCATGTGTCGCAAAAGAAAGCACGGTACGTTTTCGTTCCGGAAATTGCGACCTTCAGAACCAACCCCGTGGACGGCCTGAGATCAAAGTGGAAAATGAAGAATTAAAGGGTATTGTGGAAGCGGATCCATCATAAAGCACTTCAGAGATAGCTGCAGGCTTCGGGGTATGTGATAAAACTGTATTAATCCACTTGAAGCAAATCGGGAGAGTAAAAAAACTAGAACGATGTGTACCTCATGAATCGAGTGAATCGAACTTATAAACACTCGTCGACTGCTGTGTTACTTTGCTCATCCGACACAAAAATGAAAGGGTTTTAAGTCGAATCATTACTTGTGATGATAAGTGGATACTATACGATAATTGGAAGCGCTCGTCGTAATGGCTGAACTCTGGAGATCCAGCCAAATCCTGCCCTAAACGAAAATTGATTCAGAAAAAGTTACTTGTGGACGCCGGTCGTTCACTACAGCTTTTTAAAATCTGGTCAAACGATTACGGCAGATATCTATTGTCAGCAACTGCAAACCACGAAGGAAGAACTAGCTGCTAAACAACCGACGTTGGTCAATCGCTCTAGACCACTGCTGCTTCACGACAACGCAAGACCACACACTGCACAACAAACAAATACTAAGTTAGATGAGCTACAATTGGAATGTCTACGACATCCACCGTACTCCTTGGACCTTGCTTCAACAGATTACCATTTTTTCCGGATTTGGAAAACTTCTTATAAGGAAAAAAATTCAACTCCGATGCGGCAGTCTAAACCGCCTTCAATTCTCGGCCCCCATGGTTTTTTTAAAGGGACAAAACCTGAGATGGCAAAAGTGCATAGATAACAACGGTGCATACTTTGATTAATTAAATATATTTTACAAAAAAAATTTACTTTATATTCCTCCCGTACAAAACGCCAATTTCATATGTATGGACCTAATAATTTATGGGTAAGTCCTTTGGATAGAGCTAGATATCCGTAAATATATCAAAAGATGAACATACGGTAGGATACAGTGATAACAACATTATGTACTGAGCAGAATCTTCTCCCAGTTTATTGACAGTTTACAAATGATGTAATAAACTAAGTTTTTCCATTACATAAACGATTACCAAAGAATTTATGCGAAATCGCAAAGTTTATCTTTTTAAAGAACACCTTCAGAAATTTGCAGACGATAGCGAAGTGGTGGACGCTGTTGAGGCTTTTTTGGGGGTTAAGATAAAAAAAAATTTCTAAGGGAAATTTGGAGTTAACAAAAAAACATAGACATCATGCATTAAGTTGTTAGGGGAGTATGTAGAAAAATTAATATTTTCTTTTACTATAATCACCGCGTATAATATTCATTATCATTACTTTTGGGTCACCCCTCGTATAATGGTATTATAGTTTTTGGTATTAAATAAGTTGGATAATAAATATTTCAACTTGAGCTAATAAAATACAGATAAAGGAGAGGCTTTTTAACCAATTATGTCAATATTAGCTCTGAAAGTTAAAGAACTGTATAGTATTTTTTCTAAGTGTCTGATCGCACTAGCTTTATTAAGTTAGGGACTTATGATACATTTTGTTTGAATTTGGTATACAGTATAAAAAAAGATTCTGTGTTTATAAATTCCCTTCTTTTTGTTTTGGTTAATTTTAAATGAAAATATGTAATATCAATTTGACAGCTCCATATATGCACTTTATTAATTTCATGCAGTTTTATAGAGGCATAAAAAATTCTGACAAAAGTCATTAATAAAAATGATGAAAACCAAGGGACCTCAGGGAAGTTTGCTTCTTAAAATATAACGGTGAATCGTGACAATTTGAGATCTACTTTGTAAATATATTTCACACCGCTGCAACAACGAACCTTGAATTCCCAGCGCTAATGCTCTTTTAGCAATACAGGGTGATCTATTAATTTAAAGCCTTACTGAGATTTGTGCATGTAGCATGTCATTTTCTCAACGTCATCTAAAATTTCGGCATATTCACAAATCTAATTAAGTTAGTTTAGTAGATGTTTTGAACAATTTACCTTGTTGTTGTGGTTGTATACTCTCTTTAATGTGCCAGTATTTTAAAAATTGATATTTTTTGACAAAACATATTAAGATGTCGATACGTGTGTTTGTGTAGGAGAGCGGGCGAGGCGCGTACCCGCACCTGCAGTGCCCGCCCACCTTTCAACCCGAGACCTACTCGCTGGCGCACGCCGCCGCACGCCGGACGCCGCACGCACAGGTACACTACCCGTATATATCGCACGCACAGGTACACTACCTGCACATACTCACAAGTTCATACCCGTACATACTGCACGCACAGTACACTCCACTCCGCACGCACAGGTGTACACTACCTGCACATACCGCACGCACAGGTGTACACTACCCGCACGAGCCATACCAAATTAACTACCCGCACATAGCTACACTCCCCATACCGCAAATGACCCCATAAGAAGTGTACACTACCCGCACATACCGCACGCACAGGTACACTACCCGCACATACCGCACGCACAGGTACACTACCGTACACAACACCGTGTCCGCATAGCAAAATAGCATATAATATTATTCTGTGGAAATAGCTAAAATAAGGTAATCTAGCTGTATCAACGCTGGTGAGATTTCTAATCTTTTTTTTACAGCGTACGCTGCAGGACTCTGCTTGCTTATTTCGATATGTTGTTTTAACACGCACTTTACCAATTTATTAAAGCATAATTATGTGTTAATTTCAGGTTCAAAGTCCCACTTCGCGATTGAACGAGCAAAGAAAACGTGCACCACTTGATTTATAACGGCTTAGTGATAGCAAAAAATGAACAATTAAGTTTTATTTTTGAACTTAGTTGTTTGACGGGAATAACGGAAATTGCATCCTTGTTTTGATGATCCGTCGAGGCTGACGCAATAGACAAAGTGTTAATTTTTTTTATTTTGGAGTTATTTAAAGTTATATAAGTATTTATAGATATAACTTTAATAGGTTTTAGTGGAAATAACCTTAAAAACTTAAACTTGAAGCAATTAAAACGGTAAACAGATAACCGCAAGTTAGAATAAATGAAGAAAGTGTATATTCCAAGGGAAATATGTAATATGATGATTTGTTGTAAAAAAATTGTATGAACTAAATGTTTGCAACTTGTACAAGTATAGACAAGAGATTTCTAATTGTTGTAAAAATTATCAGACAGTCAAAGTAAAATATAAATCTTTAGTACTCAAGTATGTATCTGTATCGTTGACGCACATAACATTGTTTATTATTTATTACATTGATTATTCGCATAGGTGTACAATGCATTTAAATCTTTTTCGGCATAAATTGGATGAACTTGAAGCTGTGAGCGTTGTTACTGTCCATGTCAAATATCTTAAATTTTGACTAATGTTTATATATAGTAGATATTAATTTAGTTTTGTACGTCACTAATGTCTGTGTAATATCTAAAAATATCCTTATTAACAAATATATATATATATATATATATATATATATATATATATATATATATATATATATGCATCCATTGGCGCTAATGTATTTGTATGTGTAAGTTTCGGTGACTGGAGATTGGTGCAAGCGAAAGCTAAACGTCCAGTATTACGTACAATAACTTAGGGTTTATCTAGTGATTTTTGGTATGAGAATTTTGATTTAGCGTTTTATTAATCGATTTAGGACTGCAAATAATGAAACATCATTTTTTTATATAGTTTCTACTGCGTACTGCTGACTAAAGGTTGTATATATACATACATTTAAAAACCGAGCCAATGTCGGATCATTATAAAGTAAATATAATCGAAGTGTAAAAGAAGGTAAAAGAAGCCTGCAATGTAGAATATATATGAAAATATAAATCACTCGCTCAAAACGCAAATCTCTTATGTTGGTACTTTTCACATCGCCTTTGGAATTTGCGTATTTCCCGACGTTTCATTTAGAGAAATAGTAAATATAACTATTTATGAAATATACGATGACCTATATTAATTTCGCTAAAATTAATATAGGTACTTTATGTTGTGTTGAAAAACGACTATGCAGAGATATTAGCAAGCTTTGTTTTTTGTATTTTTCTTGCAAATAAGCATATAAGTACCCTATTTGTTTCTTTATCGGCACGTAAATGTCCAGTGCTGAACATGGGTCCATAGCGTTGTAGGGAGAATTTGAATTTGGGATTGACGATGTACCGTCTGGTACGGTACATCGTCAATCGTTATTACTTCTTAGTTGCTTATTTTACTTTTGACTTAAGAAAGATGATTTGTTATAGGCGATAGAGCCACGCTGTAGCTATATTATGGTTGTAGTATGAATGAGTCGGCTCTTCAGGGAAACCACGCTCTTAAAGAATACCAGCGTAAAATAACAGCTGCCGTGTTTAATATGGTACGACTAGAGAACCGGAGACCCTTTTTACTGGGAACGAGGCATTCCTACTCAGTCCTTAGGGGTGACAACGGTTCTGCATTTTGATTCTTTATTGAAGATAGATGTAGATGTTTATAAGCCACAGCATGCACTTACCATCAGGTGGACTATGTCGTTTGTCAGGCTCATTCTATACAAACATCTATCGGAAGCAATAAGATTTTCCTAGTACTTCTCATAGTCGCCTCTTACGACACACGTGCCGAATTAAACTCATACGCGACAGATGTACTCGTACTTGAATCAATAATTAAAAAAATACTTTGTTCCTTGCGTAGAATATATTGTCATTATTAATTTAGGTTATACGTATAAAAGGCTGCGCTCAATTTTACGAATATTGCTATTTAGTATTTAAAATTATAAAGCGTCCATTGTAATATTTAAATAATTTCATTTTCTTTCCATTTTTCTTAATGTAGCTAGGAAAGAAGCTTTATTAAATTCTATTTTTTTTTAATAAATAGATCTTATGCATTAGTTCTTCAAACATTTTTATAATATTTATATTCAATGTTATTATAAAAAGGTCGCATTTTACTAAGGACTTCTATGTTTACTACTAAAGGGGACTACGGAATTGATGTATTGCGTACTAAGTTACGCTTCGATTCTTTAACCGACGGGACTAGTTCTTTGTTCTGTAAACTGCGAACGTTGTTTCTGACAATGGAACACTGATTTTGTTTAATATGGCTGGAAACGCTGTCATTATTTATGTGCGCACTTTGTCAAGGCGATTTGAAGTTTATTTCAGATAAGTACGTAACTTTATTTCGTGTTTGCCTAAAACAGTAACTGTAGTGAATGAAAATATGACCGCGTGGCTAATATAGCGTGCCGGCTGCCCGCTCCCGCGCGACCCACAACTATGACACAATTTTTTTTTTGAATTACCGGTTTAGTAGTATTCATAGAAGTCCTTGTCCAAAAATGTATTCCTTTATATTATTACTAGTTTAATTGTTATTTCTAAGCACGATTCGCACTTTTTTCATTTAACTGACTCTCATTGAGTTTTAACGGAATCCTAAGCTTTTCTATATAAATTATTATGACGTGACGTAGCTGTATTATGGCTGCAGCACGAACGAGTCGGCTCGACTGGGGAAAGACCATGCTCGCATAAAATATCAGGGTGAAGTGTTGAGCTGGAGTCCCATTTTACTGATAACAATGCAATCCTTCTTAGTTGACAACGCATCAGCATATTAAATCAACTTACAACATCCACTTCTGTAAACTTTGTTTTCTTTTGCCACCCTTCTATAAAAAAAGACTTGTTGTGGTCACACCGGAATCGTTTGCATAGGTGATAATGGCCCCCCATCGCATCGTCGACAGCTACCGTAGCATACCGACCGCATAATAACTTTGTAAATTTTATATTCTAATTATACTAGTTCAGAGGCAGCCTTACCCATTGCGAGGCTCCGGGCGGCAGGTTGCGAGACTCTTTGTCCTTCGTGAATAGTATGTGATTTTAAAGTAGGTCTGGTATTTTGGTTTAGGTATTTGTCATGTTTGAGGAGAAATGCTCGTTATACGAATAAATAAAATTTGAGTTTTAAAATATGTTACATTGAAAGATTTATAAATTCAACAGATACAGAGATGATAAATTTTAAAATTGATGTTTGCGGCTTTTCCTAAGACAGAAATCTTTAATTAAAGCACAATAGTCTAACGAATGAGCTGCTACATCATTTTCGATTGAAATGAAAGAATAGCAAGAGCTGAAAGCCGATCTTGTGTCATCAGGTTCCTTAAATATGATTTAATAATTTTAAGCCTCGAAAAACTCCTTTCATCAGACGCAGGTGTGGTAGCAATAATTCTCAAGACTATTTCGATAGCGGGGTAAATTTCAGTAAATATTTTTTCTATTATGTATTTCAGCACCGAGATAATGTCGTCGTTTCCTTCATACACACGGATGAACATATTCAGTTCTTCGTACAATTCATGTCCATTAAGATCACATGATTATCCTACTATCATATATATTTGCAAGTCGCTGCATTGCTTCAAAAGTTCACTATCACTAATTTCCTTTTATCTTTTTACATTATAAATGACACCAAATATGCTCCCATGATGTTTAAGAGCCTCAAACCTAGGATGGCTTGCGCGCACATTGTCTTCTGACTTCTTTGAACTGTCTGTCAATATCATTTTCTTCGGCTATTTCTCTCGCCGTTACAAGGGATGACTGAAAACCATTTTCTTGATAATTATCGAGCTAATTTACGAGGGCGGCACTGAAAATTTCGGAAATCAAGAAAGTGACGCAACATTACTATTTAAAAATGTATTTATTGCTTTTCGAAGTATTCTCCGCGAAATTTGACACATTTTTCCATACGATGGAACCAATCATTGAAGCAACCATTCCATTCGGAAGTTGGGGTCTCCAAAATGGCCGTCACGAGTACAATTAAGAATAATCGAGTAGTATTTATTATTTATTATTTTTGAGTCTTCAACCGACTTGACATAAATTATATGAGCTCATTTTGAATACTTTTCCCGATATAGTGGTCATTAACTGTCTTATCCTTTACTTGTTTTAGGTGAAGTCTCGGCACGGGATCAAGTCGGGCTATTAACGTTATTAAACCTATAATGTTGTCGCTTATCTCACTCGAATCTGAGTCAGATGTTAATTTCTCTCTATGACCCCTGAAGGCCAGATTGTGTGATGCAAACATTTTTACAATTGCGAGCTATCGTTCTAAAATATCTCTCCAACGTTGCCTTTCTTGTTCTATTTGTGACTGGGCCAAGAAGTCAATAGTGGAACAGCTTTTTAAACCATTCTCTAAATTAATCCATTTCAATATACAATCTTTGTGCCATCGACTAGATTCGTGAGACTTAAGGTAATCACCCAAGTGTTTCCAATCACACACTCTTTCACTAGATCCAATATTTGTATTTTGTAGCCCGAATATTCGACACATACAATCATACAGCGTCTGTCAAGGTTTTCACCGTTAACTTATATTTTATTGTAATGATGTTCGCAGTCCATTATCATTTACGGGAAATAAATCAACTTTAACCCGGATTGGACCTTTTAATACAATCTCAGTTCGGTCTACACCGGTAATTGTTATGGGCCACTAACCGGGGTCAAAGTGAGGATTCAAATTTTCCATTCCAGCAGTCATGGATGTAGACATGATAGCGTTGACGGCGGCACCGGTGACCTAAGAGACAAAGATGTAGTTAATTCATTATCATCCTCGTTGTTTTTACTTTATGACGGCGGAGGCACTGGTAGATGATGTGGAAGGAATGTTTTCAGCTGGATCAGGATTAGAGTCACTTTCAGTCAATAAATGTTTTGTA